TTCCATCAATAAGTTCTACAACCATCTGAATTGTCATTTCAATCAATTCTTACCATCTTATAGTTTAAGTTTTGTTTTGTCGTACTTCATTTTTATTGAAATTTTAGTGCTTCAAAAAGAGAGAATAAGACACAAATAATATTGTAAGATTTAATAACTATAAAACATTAATCATTAAATAGTAAGGAGGGGTAATATTAGAGAACACATTAAAAATAAAGGATGAAGTGCTATCAATTCATGTTCCTGAATTTTTCTAATATCACATTTCCCTGCTTATTTAATATTCCATCATCATCATCATTTCTTAAATGACAAAACTTAAAAGTTAAGCAGAGTAACATGGTTTGAAAATAGTTAAGTGTACTTTTCAAAATCTAGTAGAGATTGTTTGAAATTTTACTAACAGAAAGAATTGGGAACTTGAGAAGATGAACAGATCAATTACCTTCTCTGATCATAACATGCTCTATACATATATGAAAATATTACACTGTACACCATCAGTCAGTTCAATTGGTGTGAATTGCTAAAATATAAAGTAGAAAAAATCAGGGTGTCAAATAAATGAAGATGCATATATCTGCAAGAATGTTTCATATTCATTGGTAGGAAGACTCAAAAATTATGGTTTTCTTACAAACATAAAAAATAGCACTTGATTCTTTATTTAGATTTGTCCTGATGCAAAGCTGAAAATGAGACTGACCTCATTCCATTAAAATTAATAAGTACAGAAACTTTGCCTGAAACAGGAAAACTGGGAACACTCTGTCATAACAGGTTCCCTGCCCTGGACACTCATTTTGGGTCAGCTGTGAACCCTGGGCTCCCAGATATCTTTTATCTCCTTATGCCTTAGCCTTGGTAATATAATTCTCATTGACGATGAAGAATTATGCAGTTAGTCCAAGTGTGCCCAGTTCCTGACAGATCCATGCATTGTTTTAAACTTGGAAGCCTTTGCACATCACAGGTTTTAGCACTTCAAAAAAATTTGACATCTTCTCTGAATAGGAACAAGAGTAAATTTGTAAACTATAAAACTCAACATGCATCATTCCTTGCATTTTTGGTGATGTCATGTGCTATTCCCTGCTGAGAAACTGTGTCTTCACAACAAGAGAATTTCAACTATTCTTCTCCTACTAATATGGAGGCAGAGAAATATCCTAGTGATCAAAAACTACTTTTGACAGTATGTTGATAGGAAAAAAGTTAACCAAATAAACCAATGTTTTCTTTTCAAGTTTCAACACAAAGTAGTGTTACTGAGAGGCCATACACCTCTAGAAAGGCTTTCAAGTTCTCCCCAGGATTTTGGAATGTTCTACCAGCATGATTGTCTGAGATAAATTTCTATAGTTTCATTTTTACAAGTGTTCACAACATATTATATCCCCAAACAATTAGGACAGAAATAGCACCTTTTTTTCTTCTTTTACTTCTCTTGGTTTACTGAAAGATGCTCCCAACCCCCAAACCCCAGCATAATACCCAGGAATCAAACTGTGTTTAGCACAGTGCAAGCTATTGCATATCTACTAAATATCAAAAATCAATTTTATGCTAATATATAGATATATCAATGCAGATAAAAAAGGACATATTTTTAGACTAGGGTAGCAAGGAGTGATCGAAAAATAAACAGCTGATGTAAAAATAATCAAAGAATTTTATGTTAATTCAAGTTTTAGTTTTATCTCTCAGAAAATAATGTAAAGTATCCATCACTTTAAAATAAAAAAAGTGTAACTTCTAATGTTTAAAATGATTTTCAGGATGATCTGAAAGAAAACTAATATAAATCATTTGCTTCAGGGAAGGGAACATGGCTCTGAGACTGAGGAAAACTTGGAATTTGGCTCCAAGGATTCCAGCAGAAAGAGCCCATCACTGATGAGCTGTTGGTTTTGTGCTTTTACCTATTTTATCTGCCAGATTATTTATGCCTCACAAAAACAAAAAAAAAATCAAAATTTAAATTATTTTTGAGAAAATTTGACATTGAATACAATAACACATCCATACTGTACGGAACTCAAAGGCAAATCTTATTTTCTTCTTTGAAGCTTAAATAGTTTTATTTGAAATCATATTATTAGCACAATATCCCCACGATGTAAGGGTTTATCTGTGATTTATTCATACATGCACATAATGTGCCATGATGGCATGCACCTTCCTATTACTGTTTCCTTGTCTCCTTTCCCTAATGACTCTATTCTACTGTTCTTTCACATGCATTTCTGTTTAGATTACACATATTAGAGAAAACACATGGTATATTTTTTCAATATATGCTTTTCTTAATGCATACTAATGTTGCAAGATATTTACCTTCACTGTGAATGCTCATATAAGCATATAGCATACTTTAACTATACCCACTCCCCTTTACCCTCATTGTAAACTCGTCACACTCCTCTGACACCTGCATATTTCAGAGCCTTCTCTCTACTTTTGTCTCATCTTATTTGTTTCTAGGTTCCTCATGTTAGGGAAAACACTGTTATTTTCCCCCCTGAATCTTGTTGATTTTATATAACATAATGATCTCTAGTTTCACCCATTTTTATGTAAATAGTATGAATTCATTCTTTTTTATAGGTGAATAATATTCCATTTGCACCATACATGATGTTATATTTGTTTATCTGTTGACATACACCTAGGTTGATTGTAAATATTGACTTTATGAATTGTCCCCGTAAAAACATGGATATACAAGTATCTTCAATGTGTGCTGATTTTAGTTACCTTAGATGTATACCAAAAAGTAAAATGCCTCTGTCTAAGATAGCTTTATCACTTATTTTCTGATGAAACTCCACAATGACTTTAATGTTTGATGATCTCAGTGACTTCTGCACCCTTAGTGAAACGTTATATCCTTGATGATTATAGTCATTTTGATTGAATAATAATCTCAATACAGATTTTGTTTGCATTTTCCTGAGAGCTAAAGTTGTTGATTTTTTTTTATTATAAAAATGGCTTTTCTATTTATTTTTGGGGGTAGTGTTTTGTTCCTTTTATTTATCTTATTTATCAAGTTACTTGGTACTTTGGTATTTTCTCCTTTGATTCATTTGTGTATCCAAAATAGTTATCCTCTGTCAGAAGATTTGCTGACAAAGCTTTCCTCCTATTTTAAAGATTGTCTTTTCACTCTGTGGGTTGTTTCCGTTGCTCTATAGATTTATTAGTCAGTATCTCCCATTTACTATTTGTGCATGTTTTTTTTATACATAATTAATCTACTCACAGTGTTGTTTGGCACATGTCCATAACATTTCTTAATCATTTTTATTTTCCATTTCATCTCCCTACATTTCCAAAATACCTTCTGATCTGCAATGCTACCTGTTGTTTTCTATTATTTCGCCCCTTCTATTATTTCTGCTTTAGGTTTCTCATATGAGACACATCATGTGGCATTTAACTTTTTGTGTCTCATTTATTTCACTTAGCATTATGGTTCATGCCTTCCCTGTTGCAATTCTTGCTATTGTCACCTGAGTTCTTGAAGTCCTACACAGAAAACCATTGCTTGTACCTGTATCTTGAACTGATTTTCTCAAACAGCCTTAAAGCTTCTAATTGGTATTTAGGTCAATTCATTTTGAGTTGATTTTCCATATACAGTGAGAAATAAAATTCATCATTGCATACAAATGCAGTTTTCCTTGCACCATTTATTGAAGAAAGTGTCTAATTTTCAATGCATGTATTTTGTAACTCTTCAGAGAACCAAGTATTTGTAGATTCACATGTTCATTTCTGTGTCCTATATTCTATCCCAATGTTCTGTCTATTTTTATTTCAATGTCACGCTGGCTTTGTAGACATTCTGAAGTAAGATATAATGGTATTTCCAAAACTGTAATTTTTCTATAAAAATAGCTTAAGTTTTCTGTTCTCATGTGATTTAAGGATTATTTTTCCTAATTCTATCAAGAATATTACTGATATTTTACAAGAATTTCATTAAATTAATAGATAATTTCAGTTATTGGCCATTTAACAACTATAATAAAAATTAATTCAGTTTGTATGTGGATCTCCTCCAGTTTATTCTTCATTTTTCACTTCACTGCTGTTTAAATTTTATTTTAAATATCATTGCTTCATTGATTTCTAGATAGTTTATATTTTGAATTGAGCACAACAGAATCATTTTACAAATTTCTTTGTCACTATTACAATTATTAGAATACAAAAAAGCAAGTGATTTTTAAGGTTGATATTGTATTCTAGCACTTTACTGAATTTATCATATCTAAAAGTCTTTTGAGAAGCGTCGATGGTCTTTTATGAATGGGATCATACAATCTTCAGATAATAATAATTGGACTTCTTTTTTCCCTCTTATTATTTCTTTACCTGTTACTTCAGTGATACCTTGGTTCATGAATTCAATTCTTCCATGATTCAGGCCATAAACCAAATTGAATTAGAACTGAATCCAATTTCTCTATAAGGTCAGTGTTTATTCTAACCTTTGAAACTGATTTAATTTTCTTCCAATTTGGGTTGAGAACAGAAAATGGAAATATCTAAGTTCATCAAGCAAGGTACCACTGCACAGTGATAAAAGTGGCATCTATGTGTTACTCATTGGTTTCAGAAGAAATACTTTGTTTTCTCTAAAATTCATTATGATATTTGATATGAGTTTATTGTATATGATCTATTTTGTATTGGAATTTGATTCTAAATACATTTAGTTCCATGAGGGATTTAATCATGAATGAAAATATATTTCACCATAAGTTTATTCATCATGAATTGAGATGATCACATGCTATTTATTCTTGTGATTGCTATTTTGTTTGTATAGCAGATTATATGTATTAGCATATGTTTAGTACTACTTGCATTCATGGAATGAAATCAACTAGATAATTTTATAAGATATGTTAAGGTGTCAATGAATTTGTTTTCCAAGTATTCTATAAAATAATTTTGAATCTACATTGCTTAGGAATATTACTTTATCATTTTAATTTTTTATCAAAAACTACCACCAATATCTTCCACATTTTTCTCATGGCATTTTTCACTTCCTTATTCTTAAAAGTATAAATTAAAGGATTAAGCAAAGGAGGCAGCATGCAATAAAATATTGCCATCATTTTATCAAAGGAGAAGGCAGATGGAGGTCGTGCATATGCAAATATGCAGGGGACAAAGAATAAAACCACAACAGCAATGTGGGATCCACAGGTGGACAGAGCTTTCTGCCACCCTTCAAAACTGTGTTTCCTCAAGGAGAACAAGATGACACCATAGGAAACAAGCAGCAGAGAGAAGATTATAATGCACATAAACCCACTATTGGCAACCACCAAAAGGCCAAAGGCGTGAGTGTCAGTGCAGGCAAGCTTCAGTAATGGATACAGGTCACAAAGGAAATGGTCAATGACATTGGGGCCACAAAATGGGAGCTGGCAAGTGAGGAGAATTTGGATGAAGGAATGCAAGAATCCTCCTATCCAGGCTATGCCCATCAGAACATGACAAAGCCTTTTGCTCATGATGGAAGAGTAGTGCAAGGGCTTGCAAATGGCCACATAGCGATCATAGGCCATGGCTGTTAGGACAATCACCTCCACCCCGGCAAAGAAGTGTCCAGCAAAGAGCTGCACCATGCAACCTTCAAATGAGATTGTTTTCATCTCATACAGGGAGTCAGCAATTACCTTTGGTGTGGTGACAGAAGAAACACATGCATCCAGGAAGGACAGGAAAGCCAAGAAGAAGTACAACGGGGATTCCAGGAGAGCAGGACTGCCAATAATGGTTACTACAATTAACATGTTGCTCCCAATAGTTGAAATGTAGACAAACAAAAATACAACAAATACTACTTTCTGAACCTTTGGATTTTGTGAAAGTCCCAGGAGGACAAATTCAGTTACAAAGCTCTGATTTTTCATGACTTCCAAAGCAAAGGTGAAACTTAAATTCTGGACATCTGATTTAGGTGTTATGAGAACAATTTGCTTTACATAAATTTCTAGTACTGCAATTATCCCCATTCAAACTCATTTTTAGCTTTTTGCTTTCATTCAGGACACATAGTTATAATTAGAGGAGTATTTAGAGCTCAGGCATAAGTGAGGAATATATAAATTATTCAATACTTTGAAACAGATGAAGTTTAGTATGGAAAAAGGAGCTCATCCAAATAAAAAGAAGACGAATAGCTTCTGTTTCAAATGTCATCTTGATCAGGTGTCAGCCTGAAGTGAAATATTGGGAAGATTCTGAAAAAGAAAGCAAATTTTAATAATAAAAATATAATTCATTAATTTTGCATGCCACTGATATCAAATACTGGAGGGTAATATACCACACTTTGTCTTGAGACAGCCTTATCCACAAACAAGAAAATGCAGTTCAGGAGGTGCTCATCAAATGTCTTTAAAATGCTTAAATTAATTGGGTTTTAGATTAATTTATTCTTTATTAAAGAGAAGTATTAATGGAGGAATGTCTAAATCAATACCTACCACTTTCCAAGTTTGAGAGGTGCTGAGGATTTTTATATTCATTTAAAAATTAGAATAGAAATTCATAAAAATAATACTGTATAACAATAATGTGCATTTATGATTTTTTCATCACCACTAAAAGAAATGATTTATGTAAGCAGCTAGTCAGGGCTGAATTTCTAGCAACAATGGGCATTAGATCTTATAACCCCACTCTGCTGTTGAGAAACTCTTGCTTAATCATATCGTTTCTACTTTCATAGTTTGATCATTTTTCATGCCTATATCTTGTAATCTGAGTAACTACTTTGAAGATAACAATACACAATATATCAACCTTTGTACCATTATTAATTTCCAAAAAAAGAAAAATTAAGTTTGGGTTTAAGTAAATTGTTGAATAGAAGTGTGATCTAGTTTGTGACACAGAAATTTAGTCCTCAGATTCAAGTTGTTTGTGCCTTATAAATAGTAAATGAGTTGGATTTGTCATTTCCAGCAGTAACCTTAAATCAATGACCCCGTTTGAGGATCCATGCACCTGTAAGAAGTAAGGCACTGATCGTGTTCATGGAGGAGTAAGATATCTTGATGATGAAAGAAAGAACAAATGATAAATTATCAGAAGTAATCACCCAGTCCTCTATGTGAGCAATTGGCAACAACCATGTAGGTAAGGAAATTTAAAATCAACAATAACAACAACACAACTTACTGGAAACCAGCTAACATTTTGGCACTTTATTATTCATTTGCTAATTACTCATAAAGGTGACCTAGTCTGATGGAGTGTATATCCTCAAGATGGGTGCTTCACATTTACATGACTTTCTCATAAAGCACAGGTATTAATATACATCTTTCCTGATCATCACCCTGGACTATGATGAAGGTATATTTGAAAATGTGAAAATGATGTTAATAAAAAGGATCTAAGTCTCCCACTTTAAAAACCATTCTTTTTACCCACAGAAGCTTTCACATATGTAATCCAGTGATTACCCTTGAATTCTTGATTTCATATTCCACACGTAGACACAGCTTCACAGAATGGCTGTATCCTCACACATATCATTCAAAAGTCTTATGAATACATATATAAGTACATGAGACTTTTAAATATGCATATATAGGCATTTTTGTTAAAACAAATGAATCAATTATGTTACGGCTTATTATAAGAATTAATATGATTTTATGCCTACCATTTAGAGTTAAAAGAAAAAAGTTAAAGCAGAGCTTTTTTTGTTTTGGTACTGGAATCAAACTCAGGATAACATGCTTGCCAGAAGATGATGTGCTGCTTAGCCTTAATCCCAGCAAAAGAAAAAAATATAAGGTTAATCAAATAAATAAATAAATATACATTTTTGTACAACTAATACGTACTCTTTTGCTTGTTTCAAAAAATTATTTCCTCTGAACTCTAAGGTTTATTCCAAGCCCATGTGTACACACTGAATGTCATATTCCCTGACATGCATAGGTAAGGACATAATAGTCTACAAGGAATTCCAAAAAAATCATTGAATCAGCCAATAGCCATCTTTTAGAATGTAAAGAAACAGATTCAGTAATTACAAAATCAGTGGTCTTAAGTTTAGCCTAGGTCTTCAGGAGAAAACACAGAGAGAAATCAAACAGACCACAGGTACCCACTCTTGTTTCAAATGCTTCACTTTAACAGAAAACCAAATCAAATGAGAGGATGAAAGGAAGACAAGGTTCTCTAGTAAGCTGAAAATCAAGAGTGTTACCTCTCTACTTCCTTTCTCATGGTGTTCTCAAGGCAATACCATTTTAGAGTTAAAATGTTTTAAACATAAAAGAACCATCTCACTTTCATCAGAAATTATTGACAATACAAAGTACAGGGTAACCATGTTTTTTGAAAGAAATATTTGGGGTCTTAAGTCATTTAAAATAAATTGTTCCAAATATGATGTGATTTACTAGATTAAATCAAACATCAGAAAAATGTAAGTAGTGACAAATTACTGACATCTGAATAAAATAAAACTGGAGAACATAGATCAATATTCACATGATAGGCCTGATGAAAATACCTGTGTTAATATAGCATGGTAATGTTATGGGAAACTATGTGACTAACAACAGGAACTTCCTGTAATATCATTGCAGGTTTTTATAAACAGGAAATTTCTCTCTTATATAAACAGAAAATTTCATGGAAAATGAAATAGAAAGAAAAGCATTGTTCACTTTTAGCTCTCAAATATCCACCAGTTCCAGGGCTGTCATGTCATAACCATGCCTCATGGAATGAAGTTTCATGCCTCAATGGCATGACAGTGAGGTACAAGGAGAATAATTTCAGCATGTTTTCACAGCAAAATCCAAAAGGAACACCAAAAATGTCATTATCAGCATTTAAAGAACCTCTACATAAAAATGGTAAAAAGAAAAGCAAATTATATATATATATATATATATATATATATATATATATATATAATATATTTATTTGAAATACTTTTAAAAATTTCAAATTTATTTGAAATACTTTTTTAAAAATCCCAAATCCACATTGTAATGAAACTGCCTCACTCATGAAAATATGGGGAAACATTGGTTTTTAATTCCATAGTCCTACATGTTTGTAATCTATACCACTAATCCAGCCTTTAATGTGTTTTCATAAAGTGAAATGCTATGGCAAGTTTTATACTGGAAGATGTTACACTGTCAAATGTAGTAATAAATGATCTAAAATATTCAAAAATAGAAAGCTGCTGTTATAAATAAAAAATTTAAAAACTAGATTCTTGGTTTGATGAAAATATTAATATTATGAGGATTTAGAAATTAAAGCATTTTTTCAATTTGCTAAGTGAGTAATACAAGTATATTAGTAACAACTCATCTGCGTGTATGAATATTAAATATAATTTTAAATTTCAAAAGTGATGTGTGTATATAATGACTTCAAATAAAAAATTGCAATATATATGTTATTTAAGAATATTTGGAATTGAACATAAATTTAAAAACACAATACCTGATTCATCATCGTCTAAATTTTAGGAAAAAGGATAAGGAGTTGGAGGAAAATTTCTTTGCATCAGGGAAACGCAGCCAGTGAATCACAGAATCTGATGTGAACTGTTTGGCCAGATATGGCAGTGAATGTCTATAATCCCAGCTCTCTTGGAGGCTGAGCGAAGAGTGAAGAAAGTTGAAACCCAGACTGGGCAATAGAATAACTCATCATCTTCATGAGGCCCATTACCAAAATAAAAATAAAAAGAGCCAAGGACAGAGCTCAGCCTGAAGGTCCTGGTGTTAATTCCTAGTAGTGATAAAATAAATGAATTACTGGAAACTGTCAACTACTGTTCACAATTTCCACAATGCCTCCTCCCATTCTCTATACATTTACATTGACATCAATTTGACATCAATTTTAAGTCCATATTGTTCCATACAGAGTAATATATTTTGTCTCAGTTTCCAGGAATAGTTTTTCTTTACGTAAGAGTCACTGGCCAGAAGTGAGCTCCAGAGAGAGAACAAGTCAATTTCTCTTGAGGTCCAGCCATGTTCGAACTTGGAGGACTGAACAAGAAAGCAATGAGTCCTGCTTCCTCGTAAGTGGTAGCCTTGAGAGCAAGCAGTGAGCACCAGGGAGAAAACAAGTCAGTGTCTCCTGTGAGCCTACCTGTACTTGGGCTCAGAATCAAAAGTCTCAATACTCGTGCACCTGCCCCTCCACACCCCACTCCCAGGTCCTCATTAGCTACTGGACGGTGTCCAGGACAGCTGGAATTGATAGCAACTGAGGCACATAAAGCAACTAAATGCTTCTATTGTTTGCTTGATTATGCTGATCTAGGGTGAGAGGTCTGAGCATCTCTTGGGAAGATGAACTTATGCAATGTAGCAAATATGGAGTATTTCCTTCTATCTTCTCCTTGAAGGCATTATTTTTCCACTATTTTTGCTTTGTTCCGAGTAATTGTTTTGCTCTACTCAATATTCTATTTTGATAGTTTTTATAATGTTCTGGTTTTGATTTGATTTTGCTATATCTGATTGAATGAACAACTATTATGAAGATAACAAGATATACTATGGAACCTATTACTGTTATCCTGGTATCTTGTTCTGAAGTTCTGCACCATTTTCACTGCATCGTCTCGATTGGCTTTGTTCTGTCTTGTTTGTTGTATTTTTCTACATTCAAAATAATAATAAGAAGAAGAAGGAGGAGGAGGAGGAGGAGGAGAAGGAGAAGAAGAAGAAGAAGAAGAAGAAGAAGAAGAAGAAGAAGAAGAAGAAGAAGAAGAAGAATCATTGGCCAGAATACTCCTGTTTGAACCTGTTTCTCATGCTGTACTTACTCCACAATGAGTCGTGGGCTCTTGGTTATCTACTGAGGATGCTGCTTTGAAGAATTTGATCTCTGGATCATTTTTACATTGCCCACTGATTTT